CATTTTATAGTGGTTTCATAAGTTCTGAAAATAATATTTTTTGCCAAAAATTGGTCAGTAATATAATTGCAATTAAAATTTGTTTTACATAATTATATATTGCCATTTCTACTTATTTCTATAATAAAATTCACATAGGTAGATACGTATTTGAGTTGATCTAGATTTTCTATGCATAGATTCATTGAAGACTTTCTTGGTTAAATGATCAATTAAAACAATTGTATGGAAATGAGAAGTTTTTTATTGATGAGAAGTTTGCAGCAAAATTTAAGGTCAGAATCTCTTTAAATTATTTTTGTCAGATAATTGGTAAAATTCCATTCAAGCATATTTTAAGTTAATTTCATACTAAGTTACAGGTTAGGAGTTATGCAGCATTAATATTTATAATTCTAAAGGCCTAAAATACCAAGAATCTCTATTGCAAAACTAAATTTTAAACTATTTTTTTTAATCTTTTATTAGGTATATGAGGTGCAGTAAAGTTTTTAGCCCAGTCCATTTTCAAAATCTGACAATCTAATCAAACATCAAAATTTTTTTAATCTCTTGTTTAGTATGCAAATTTAAATATCTAGGGAGTGTTTTAATAGAGGATGGAAAATATTACATTGAAATCCAAAGGCACATTGAAATAGCAAAAGATCCCTTCCAAAAGTAAAGCAAAGTATTAAGAAACAAGAAAATTATGCAATGTCAGTCCTCCTATATTACAGAGAATACTGGACAATCTCATCACAGATGAAGAAGACTTGAGGCAACAGAAATGTGGTTCTATAGAAGAATGTTGAGAATACCATGAACTGAACATGTGAGTAATGAAGAAATTTTAAGGAAAATGGAAACAGAAAGGACATTTTCCTTAGAATCAGGGACAGTTGTACACAGTAGCCTGAATTTTGAATTGCTCTTTTACAACCATGATAGAATAGTCATGTGTCAGTTTGCTTGTTTCTCTCTCTTTCCATGATGCCCCTCCCCCACTCAGATTTCATCTTTGCTTTTCATACTTCTTTCTTATCTTTCTTTAGTACAATCAGATTTAATTTATGATAAATTTATTTCCTGGACATGATAATAGAAGAATAAATTTTTTATTTGAGGAGTTTACTCACATCAACCATAGCAGAATAATTATAGAAAGAGCAGATTAGGTCTAAGGGGGGAAATTTAGGTGGGAAAATTTGCAGAAAAAGGTGCTACTGCAGTCTGTGGTCTATCGTTAATTTTCTGTTTTTATATGCAACTTGGTCTGTTCACAAATGTTTTGAGATTCAAACATTAAGAAATGGGTTAATTGGATTTGAAGTTTTGTTCATTTGAGAAATATAAATTTAGAAATATCAGTCTAATTGAAAGAAAAAAAAAGAATGGTTTTATTTTCTGACTGGAGGTTTGGTATCACTTATGGGGGCAACTAAAAATTGTTCCTATTCGCCTGCATTTCTCTTCAGTTCATGCAGTTTCCCACCACACTTGTGGTAAAGAACTTCTGCTGGTAGATAATCAAAAGGGTTATATTTGCATGAAAAAGACACTGCAACTTCTTGAGAAATAACAGAAAAGAATAGAAGATAGACAGTTTTCTGAAGTTAACTGTTGAAATAAAATATTAACAATTTTTAAAATGTATTTTTCACTTCAGAATTTAGCCAAGGAATAATTTTGCCTACTAAAGATAACCAACAAGTGGTTGCTGAACAGAAAACTTCATCTGGACAGGTAAGAGAAATAAAATAATTTTGTAGCTCTTCAACTCTGTGCATAAAAGCAGTTGTGATGTTATATGATTGGTACAGATTCATTAATCTAGTGCAGGTTTGGCAGTGTCCTTGACACATGGTTTTTCCATCCATGTTATATTTAGATCTGAAAACCTCAGGTTTGAAATGTTGCAATAATTTAAAATACCTTAAGGTTTTAACAAGACATTTAGCTGTTGTTTATGCAAGCTTTTCAAATTAGTAACCCCTCTCCAAATACTAATGCTTGACAATAATCATAGTCTGAAATCCAAATTGCTCATTTACAAGAACAGTCATATATGTTTGTTTGCTTGTTTCTCTCTCCTTTTAAAAATTGGGATGATAATCTAGTGGTCTGCTCATTTACATCTTTTCCCATGATCTGCTCACCTCATGTCTCTATGGAATACTTAATGTATTTGTATACTGTGTGTCTGTCTATATATATATATATATATATATATATATATATATATATATATATATAGAGAGAGAGAGAGAGAGACTGATTTTCTGTTTTAAACTTTCCTTAATTCCATTAGGGAATCCCCACCCCCCATTTTCAGTATAGATTTCTGTCTTTGCTTCATTATAATACTTAGAAAATGTAACAATATATAAAACAAGAAGGGAAAATGAAAAATTTTATTATCTGGAATATCCACCCATTGGATAAGTTGCTCCAGCTTGATAGGAATTTGTATCTCATACTTCTGCCCTTAATTTAACTTGATGATTTTCTGGGACAACTCTTTTAAAGAATGCTATAATCCTAAATAAGAATTAAGTGAAAGTGACAAAACCTATGAAAAAGTAGCACCACAGATTACTAAAAGAATTAAAATAATTTTAGTGGCAATCTGTGACAGAATGGGATATCTGCTCTTCTTGGCACATCAAAATGCTGGAATGTTGAAGAGATTTGGTAGGTCATCTTTGTAGTTTATTTTGAAATTTTTCAAAGAGTTCAGTGAATGGCTCTTGTAAATCTTTGATGGCTGCAAAACTGTCAATGTCAAGGTTAATACATGGTAGCTGTCTAGGATCAAACAGATGAGCTGATTTATAAAACTCATACACTGGATAAATATACAAGCATTAGTTCAATTTTGAAAATGCTGTACTGAATATGATTCCCAGTTCAGACAGAAGATGGTCAGTTTCTAGACCAAATGTTGTTTTCAACCTACCACTCTCAAGGTAATTCTTTAAATCTTCTATTAGGTTCTACACAATACATGCAAGTGGTAACTTGGTCTCCTCTAAGCTTGTCAAGGCTTTTATTAAACAAGTACAGTTCTTATTGATGAAATGTAGATTGAGATGTAAATTATGGTGTTTCTTTTCCTTGCAGATGATCATTTTAGCATGATCATGAAACTGTTAAGATTTATAAAGAAAGAGCAGACTAAAAAGATAATTACATTTTCCAAACTGAATGAATTTGTAAGAATTTTGTCAAACCCAAACATGCACAAAGATGCTGCAAAGATTGAGTGTGAGTTTCTGGCAAATAGCACTATGCAAAATTTATCTCAAAAAGTAAATGTGCTAACAAAAGATCTGTTTGCATGCAGAATTGCAATAAAGACATCATTGAGAAACTTCTGACAAAGTCTCCCCTTAGATACCCTCTTGTAAGGTCATTTGCATGGCTGAACTCTGGATCCATTTGTGAAAAAAAATATCTGCCGCAGAAGATAATCTAAAAAGATATATTTCCCACATAATGAACAGAAAACAAGTGAGCAAGTCTGATTGTGACAACATCATGAGTCAGTATAAAGAGTTCAAGGAGGAGATTGCTTGAAACTTAACTTTTTTTCCTGTGGGAACCCTGTATGGCCTTTTGTCCAATTTAGTTTTTCAGAAATACCATTTCTCAAATTCTTAATGTTGGGTTCAGGTTCCAGTCTTGCTTTGTCTCAGTCATTTTATTCCTGAAATCTCAGTCTACTTCTATTCTTTTGACTGCTACTGAGTCCATAATAATTGGACCTGTTTTCTTTCAGTTTTATGTCTAAAAAATAAAATTTAAATGAATCTTAAATAAATTTATCTTTTTAATCCTAGGATCTTTTTTTCTTTCTTACGTCGCATCACGTGTGCTTAGGTTTATAACAAAGATAACTTTTTCAGAATGTAGCCAAGCAGGAAATGAACAAAACTATTAATGGAAACCAAGGACATGCAATCCGAGCTACAGATGATATTCCATGCAAAACCCTAAAAGCTAGAGAAGAATTCATTTGTTCAGCAGAGGATTTATATCGAACACTCACCACAAAAGAGGTAATTCATTTGTAAATCTTGTTTAGCTTTTCATGCAAATGATGGCTCTAAAAGTTTTGATTAAATTTAGATTAAGCAGTGAATTATCACTGGTTTTATGCCATCATTATAAAGTAAGAGTTATTGAAATCAGTTAAATAGTAAGAAATTTCATATGTAAATGGAGATATAGTTTGTATGGTGGGTTTAATAGTAATATGGAAAATTCTTAACTGTTATATTTAAAGTAAATGATGTTTGATTTTAAAGAATGTCCAGGAATAGACTGAATGTAGGGATGTTGGTTTTGTACTAATTGTTTTTAATTATGGAAAAGTCACCTATTTAATGTTATTAAGTATATAATGCTTTTGAAAGGTTTAAGAATTGAAACTATTTCTTCAGTTTCAAAATGGCATTTTTCTGGGAACTTTTTGATTGGTTTATACTAAATAGACAATCACTTAAAAATTGGTAGATTTTATTAAAAATTGCTAAAAGCCAGTTTGATTTCTATGGCTTTAATTGTCCTTGTGTTAATATTTTGTCATCTAACAAATTTTATTCTTTACCATTCATTTTATGATTTTCTAATTTTATCATTTAGAATCAGTTATTTTGAAACTTGTTGGAATGATTTCATTAATATATTAATTGATTTTTAATGTTATCAAAGTAAGAAAAAATAATTGGCTTCTTGTGTATTTACCATTAGTATCTACACTATTGAATTTGTTACCATTATTTAATTGCTGATGCATTAATCTTAGAAAAACTTCAAAATTTACACTTACAACCATTTTTATTTTTCAGTTGATGTTAGCTTTTACTAATAGTGAAGTTGTTTGTGAGACTGATCCTCTTAAAATTGCATTCTCAAAATAAAATAGCTAAAAAAAAAAAATGAGGTGGAAAGGCAATTCTGATTGCTTATAAGTTTAATTCAATAGTTAATGCCTTGCAACCTCTTGCTATAATTCATAGCACAGCAGAGATTAATTTTTTTTTTTTTTTATTGAAGCATGTCAATAAAAAAATCTTATATTTACACAATGTAAAAACAACTGGAAGCATAAGTAAGCAAAAACAAGTCAAAAGTATATCGTCATGAACTTGCCATAAAAAAAAAAATATCCATTTGAGGTACATGCCTGAAACTTTCTAACTTAACTAAATTTGGAACAACAAATTCAATAAAACAGCTCATTTTCTCTGTAATATGAAGATCTTTTGTCATAGATGAATCATTGGTCAATCTTTCAAACAAATGCTTATTGTAAAGCTTTAAACACAGTTATCTTCCAAGTAAAAAAAATTAAAATTAATAAAAATACATTTATTGAACTGATGAAACTGACTTTTTGGTCAGTTGGAATGGTTTTGCTTGCATTTCCTCTTCTAATGGTGACTTGCAGTCTGAATTTGTTTATAAGCCTCTGCTATAGCCAATTCTTGGAACTAAAATATTTGATTACAGCACTGGACAGAGATGTAATATCAGTGATGTCAGTGTAAAAGTTGAAGTTAATAGTATACTGTAACCCACTGGCTTTGGTGCTCATAAATGAAGGTCATTTGAAGTGGTTCTTCAATGCTTATGCTACAGTTGTTTGAATATGCAGATTCACTGACTGCATTTTCTTCCTTTTAGAGGTGAGATGAAGTTATATATAATATTATATATTAAAAGTTAGATCACTGTAATGCCTATTACCTTCATCACACAGTTTTTAACTTTATCAACAAGTTTGCAAGGCATTTGGGCCTTCTTCAATCTACTTTTCTCACTTAGAAGAAAACTACTTCTCAGGGCTTGGAGTTTGACATCCACTGAACAGAAAATTATTATTATCTTCCATAACAACTTAAGGGAAAGATAAAAAAACAATTATGAAAAGACAATACTTTTTTTTTTTGTAAGAAAATGTAACAATTTCATTTTAATGTCCAAAATAGGACCTAATCCCTAGAATTTGTAAACAAATAATTATTTAAAAAAAACAAAAAAAACTGATTACATTTTGAAAAACAGCCTAACTTTCAATTATTTATGGAACTATATGCTGAGTTTAAGCTAAAATATCCAGTTCCTTTTTTTTTTTTTTATATTGTTTTTTAAAATGTATCCAGTTTCATTTTTTTTAAAAGAAATATAAATAATTCTGAGAATCAGAAAATCACAAAATATTGCCAGCCACAAATGTAAATGAAATGAATGACCATTAAAAAGGAAACAGGGCACTTTTTAAAAAAATTTATTAAAATATTTTTATGGACAAATGTGATAAAATTTAAAGTAAAAATATATCCAGTTTATATATTTATTATTTTTCTTTCATAATATGAATTCTGTTTAATGTTTTAAAAGAAAATGCATAAAAACAACAGCTAACAGTTTTTGACAAAATACAAAAGTACTTTATACAATATTAAAATGCATCATTTAAAGAAAATTCAAAGATTTAAACTCTGTAATATCCATCAATGAAACAAGTCTGATTTAAAATGGGATTCAGTTTCAAATTCTATCTTAAGCCCATCAAATTGACAAGCATCCTTTTTTCTTTAAGATGGGACTATTTTATGTGTCAGAAGATACAACTTGAAGTGCAACAAGTTTAAAAACCCACAATGAAATTGTCGACTTTGAAAATGCAGGAAAACGAGCAGCCTTTGTTGAAATAGGGGGACATAATTTAAAGATGTGGGATAAAAACTAATCATCACACATGAGAAAGAATTATATCTTTTAAAGAGAATATTAAATTTTTTTTTTTTTTTTATCTACTAATTTTATCAAAGTAACTTAAAAAATAAATGAGATATCAGCAGTTGAAATTGAAGAAAATTTCACTGTTTTGACATGTTTTAATAGTGTAAACTAGGGCGGTTTGTGATATCTATTACCCATTATTTGATTAAAAAAAAGAAAATACATTTAAGTTTTACATATAAAACTAATATATTGTGATATTAATGGATTTGATTATGAAGTGTCTACATTCGGAAATATTTCATGTATTTGCTTCAGTCTGTTTTAATACATTTATATTGATATTATATGATAATGGCTATATATAAAGTGTGTGTGTGTCTAAATTAATTTTTTCTTTTCTTTCGTTCAGGTTCCAAACAAAAAAATAGTTCAAAAATGGAGATTAAAAACTTGGCCTGAGAGCCATTACTCAGAAGTGACAATAGAATTTGAAGCAAAAGGTGATTCAACAATGCTGAATCTGACTCAGAAACATGTGCCAGAGAAAGAATATGACAACACACAAGATGGATGGAATCGCCATTACTGGGCACGCATAAAACAGATATTTGGCTATGGAGCCCAGTTGTTCTAACCCCTGTCCCCTACTTAGCTTAGGACCCAAATCTATAATTTTCAATCAAAATAAGCCAGTTTATTGCTGGTCTCTCTCTCCCCCCCCTCCTTCTTTCTCATTCATTTCTCCATATCAGCAATGGTTCTTAATTTAATTTTAATACAAGCATCTGAAACTACCACTACCATCAGCATGGTTGATATTGCCATACATTCAAAATGTTGCTGGCTCCTTAGCTTACCATCTGGTGTACATTTGTTCAGGACTTAGAAAAGTGGATCCTAGATCTTTGCTAATTGGTACTTTCCTATAATCATATCATTTGTGCCACATTTTTAGGTAACCCATCTACTTGCTTTGAATTTTGAGTCCACTCTAGTAATTCCTAATTTGATTCCTATCATAATTAGCTTAGAGTTGCTGTTACATTTAAGGAACATTTTTCATGGTGATTGTGGTAGTAGTTATGGTGCTTAATGTATTACTTTCCATTGGGGTTGCATGGGATGTAAAACTGCCTGTCCATTTTTCTTTTAATCTTCCAAATAATGCTTGTGTTAAGATGATGATGATGATGACTAGTTTCTTATTACATTTCAAGATCACTTTCTTTACCGGTTCCTCACGCCATCGCCAATTCCCTACTTAAGTCCAGCCATATGTTTTTGCTAAAGCCGTAACTGATTGATTCTGAATTCAGTTTTTTAAACACACACAAATTAGTTTCTCTTCACTGGCTTCTCTTTCAGTTTTGTATTGTCCTTTAATGATGGAGCAAAGAAACATTTTGTAGAAGGGGACAATGTAAGAGAAACTGTTTACTGAGCAGATACCTATCCAGAAACTTAATTTACAGCTACTATTCTCCTTTCCCTTTTACTTTTTGTATTTGCTTCAAATGTTTTTCACTTGAAATTAATTTTAAAATAAGACAGCTCTTTTGTTTATTTACAACAGATTGTTTTAAACATTTTTTCCATCATTAAGCTAAAATTATTATTACTATTGTCATAATTTCAAAGCCTTAAAGTTGCCATCAAACCACCAGTAAATGTAAAAAGTAAAGTCTCTCTACTTAAACATATGTTGCTCTGATTCTATCATAATTTTGAAACCTTACTTTCTTTAGCACTTGATAATGTTAAACTTTGTAATTATTAAAAGAACCCCCCCTTTCAAAGCAAAATTGTATTTCTTTCCAAGCCTCATTTTCTTGTTTGTCTCCCTCTCTTTCTTTACTTCTATCCTTGAATGTTGGAAGCAAATGTTAGGCTGTTTTAAATTCTGAACCAAACAAAAACAATAAAAAGACTCATTTCAGGATTCAGTCAGTACACACAATACTGCTAACACCATTTGTCATTAAAACTTTTGCTTAATTTTAAAAACAAATTTGGATCCAATATTGTCTTTTTCAGTCTCCCTTTTTTTTTTTTTTTTTTTTTTTTTTCCATGTTCTTTTCCTTTTATCACATTTGTGCATGTGTTTACAGTGATGTATCTCTGTTATAAGAACTTGTAAAATAAGAAAGCTGTCAAAATAATGAGCAGTTGGGATAAAATGGACTCCACCTCCCAAAAATTTAAAATTTATCCACTTAAGTGTTCTAAGATAACTTTTCTTAGAATAAATGCAGTTGTTTTGATGAGAGATGATATTTTTTTAATTTAGCAGCACCCCAATGAGAATATCTGGTTTTGCAACAAATCATGTGAATTTTTATAAGTGCTAAAATGACAAATTAATTCAGGGCTTGTGCCATCAAATTTTATTGCTACTTTTTCTTAAGAGTCTCTGCAGACAAGGTTAAGAAGAATATCTTCATCTTTAAAAAGAATATTTTAATTTTAAATCAGAGCTGTGATTTTGTAATACTATAGTAACACTGTGTGATTCTTTATGTAGCCATTATGTTAGAAATAATGTTTTGCTGCATATTCATGTTTTTATCAAACATTTTTATTGGAAATGTCAAATATAAATTTAAATTTTTTTCTGAAAATATAAAAATTATATTTGAAGGACAAAAACTTAAAAAAAAGTCCAGCAATCTTTTGTTGTGGGCTGGCTGTTTGAATAAAGTCTCTGTAAACAATGTTACATTGTTAAAATATATTACATGCAATGTTTCATTGCTAAAAACACAGAAACTGTGCATTAACAATATATCATATTTATATACAATATTTTTAAATTGAATTAATGATGCCTACTTGTAATTGTTCAAAAAAATTATACTTTCCGTTTCTGTAGGCTAAAATAAAATTTCAGGATCTGTAAACATATCAGTTTTTTTTTCTCTCTGGAAATCAAATCATATTCAGATCAAAAACCTGTGCAGAAATGTCCACCACACTTTTCTACAAAATAATAATTTCAAGATATTAAATTATTTAGTTTTTGAAAACAACAATGATTTTTGTTTTAAACAAGTAAATTTGAATAATTTTGTTGTTAGTCTTGCTATTATAAAAAATTTTGAAAAAAAACATTTTAATTGCATTGAAATTTATTTAACTTGTATATCAATTTCAATTGTCCCTTTTCTAACCTATTATTAAATTTGAAGAATATTTTCTTTTATGGATATTTATTATTTACCGGTTATATAGATATAAATATCCCTTTGTTAAGATTTTTGTAAAAAAAATAAGGAGATAAATATCTGATGAAAAAAAATTAAGTTATATGTAATCTTTTCCCTTTTATAAACAACCAAAAATAACTTTCTTCTGCAATATAAATATGCATAAGACACTTCACTATTATATTGCTCTTAAGTTTACAATAAAAAATATTTTTAAAATAGTTTTTTCTTGGAAGATATTAACATTACACTCTTATTTCATTGTTAAATAATTTTTTTTCCTTTTTCTGCTCAGGACTTTAGGTGCTTTAAGTACTGTTTATAGAATGATATAAATTCTATTTTGGATATATAAAAATTGAAAAGTTAAATGTTTAAATTAAATAGGTTAAATATAATTTAAATTCCATGATATGGCTAAGTAAAATTTACTTATCATTTTTGAGTAGAATATGCATTTCTTGAAATTTTTCTTCAGTAAATATCAAAAAATTTTCGACAAATTATAAACCAAACTTTTTGTTTTTTAAGACTTTTTTTTCATATACTATTTAGTTATAATAAATCAATCAAGAAAAATATCTTAAATGTCCACATCCATCCATATATATAATACATTATTTTTTTCATCCTTTTTAATAAGATATTTATATATTAATAAATTATTTCAAGTTATTTTAAAATCAATGTTCTGGTGAACAACAACTTTTTGGACTTATTTCTCTCTTTTATTTTTTTTTAACTTTGATTTCCTACTGGAAGGGTATTTCTTTCCAGAAAAGTTCTCTAAATAAAACTTTCAAAAATCTGATTTTTAAAATAATTTATCTTTTTTTAAACCATAGAACTTGGGTAAATATAAAATCGAACTTTTTTTTTTTTTTTACTTTTTTAACAACCTTAAAAATTTCTTTTTCCACAGTAATTTTCACTGGACACATGGCACGAAAATTAAAAAAAAAAATCTAAAAACTGGCCAAATTATAATTTTTTTTTTTTAATATAACAGTTTTTTTTTATCATTCTGTAATTCAAATCTTTTACCATCTGTATACCCTCTTGCAGTTAACTCCATGAATGTATTATGCCAATAATTGAATTCTTTTACAAATATTAAAAGAAGACAATTTTGAAAAAGTTGGGTAAATTGAAATGAAAAATAAAACCTTACTCTCATTTTCGTTCATAATTTAGGGTATTCAAAATTTTTAAATAAATCAAAAATCATTATAATAAATGGTTTAGTTTAGTCTTTTAAGCAAAACCAGTGAGTTTGATCCCATTTTTTATCATAATTTATTTGGGTTTATTGATTATCGTATTGAATTTTAAATATTCAAAATAAACCTTAAAGTAAACTTAAACAAATGGATTCCATTATAAAACAATATTGACAGGACTTTCAAAAAATGATTTATTTTTTAATCCTCCTTTTTTTCTGTACTTTTATTTAAATTTTTTTACAACATTTAAATTTAACTTTTGATTTTTGCACACAAACATAAAAAGATCGGCAAAACAAAAACAAATGTTTTGTGGTTTCCTCAATGCTACATTTGAATTTCTGTAAACACAAAACATTTTTTATTTTTTTGAATTCCGTGTTTCATTTCAGCAAAAGTCTATATATTCATATATTTATTATTGGCATGCATAAGATCTGAAATAATTCATTTGCATTTTGTGAGGAATATATTTTTCCTTCATAAAATATAAGTTTCCAAAAAAAAGGATTATTTTTATTCTAAAGTCATATCTAATATAAAATTTTTATGGAAGTCTAAAATTTTTTATTGAATTTATCAAAAAAAAAAAAATTTGCATTTTGGAATAAAAACACACATTTCACATACCTACAATTTTTATATTTAGGACCAATTCTATATATGGATATAATTATTTTCAGGATATTTATGGTACAAAGTTTATTTTGTCCAAAAATTGTTTTTTGGCTGGATTATCCAACATCCAAGAGCGGTTGTTGATTAAAACTTCCAAATAGTGGACTTCAGATCTCGTTTACATATTTTGACAACGGTACAAAACCTATTTGGAATATAAAAACTCTCATTTTCCACAATATTCTTTCTAACAATGGTGAAAAATGGTTTATTAATGTGTTTTTCATATGTTTATTTTTAATGTTCGAATTTTTGGGGAATCTTGTGAACTTTGCTACAGAATTAAAAAGAAATATATCAAATTGTTGAACCTGATTATTTGTTGACGTTTTTTCATTTTTAAAAAAATATTAAAATTTATGTCATTTGACACTGTTCAATAAACAGGTTTAACAGCATTTTATTTGGAATACTTTGGAAGCAGAGGCTATCAATATTTAAAGAATAATTGACAGTCATTGAACTTTTTCCTACTTTAAGTTGTCTAATTTTTTTCAGAATAAATATATTTGTCAGAGCAGCCAGTCTGAGGCTCAGTTAATCAATCTGTTTATATTTCTATATAAATAAAAATAATATGCATTAAATAAAAAATGCAATTTATTTTCTAAACTTTTTAAATCATATATGCACTTCAGTTTATAAATTAAATCATATTAA